GATGCTGTATCGTCAGAGGGCCTTTAACGCGCTCTGGGCTCCATCAGAGTACATGCAGACGTTCTTCACTGTAGCTACTTTCATTTGGTTTAGTAACTATCTACCCATATTTTCCGTTTTATTGACATCTAACAACCTATCCTTTACATGTTTAATATATTTGTTACAGGGAGTTTGAGAAATCCGTGAGTTTGCAAACTCCCTGACCCATCAGTGAGTTTGCAAACTCACTAGGGAGTTTACGAATTCACTAGGGAGTTTGCAAACTCACTGACCGGTCAGGGAGTTTGAGAAATTCCAGAGCGATTGGGTCAAATAAAATCAAGTGTGTAAGAGGAGGGTGGCATACGTGCCGTCCGTGATGTTAACCCGCGCCCCGTAGGGGGGGGGGGGGCCGAAACGGCCCCTCCCTGTCCTTTTCCGTCGCTATCTCCTAAACGGCTGGAGATATCGCCACCAAACTTGCAGAACCCCTCTGGGCATCAATTTTACACATTGTGACAAAAAAATTTCCAGAGGCTATGATAGGTCGGCCACAAATGACGTCAGAATGACGTCATGTTCTGTCATTTTCGACCGAAAAAAGACCTTCGCGAGAAGACCTGTCCGGCCTACAGCTTTGAAGATACAGAAAAATGATCAAGACATAAAAGGTGTAAAATTGACAGGGCTACAAAACTGCTATCTCGGATTTTTGAGATTTTTGAGTTTCGACCCACAAAAATCAAAAAAGCATTTTTTGGATATATTAGCCGAAAAATCAAAAAAGTTTTTTGAGTTTCGTAAAAACCGGAATATATGTGATAGTGCCTACCGTCTTCTATCTACATACCAAATTTCATATCGATACCTCGTTTTTTTGGACAATTTATATCGAAAAAACTGTTCAAAAATGATGACGTCAAATTTTCAAACTCAATTTTTGGCAATTCTAGACCTCGTAGAGCAGAAAAAAGACCACCATTAGACTCCACGTGACAAGCTGCATCGAATCAATACCCATTTTATGCAAAAACATCAACTTTGAAATTTGACCTAATTTGACCTGACCTTGACCTGACCTTCACCAAAATGTGACCCAGGCTGGCCCCAAAGGCTGCCTAACCCACATAATCGCATTTGTCATGTAAAATGGACCATGAAACATGTATCACACCACACTTTCATATTGTGACCCCCGGTGACCTGACCTCGCTGTGACCTGACCTGGTATCAGTGACCTCAGATAGCAAAGTATGTGTTTGACGAACAATGTACCATCGATGGTTTTCAATAAATTACCAATTTACTCGATTTCACAACACATTTCTTGAAATGCCTGTGAACGGTGAAAATCCGACCTTTGACCTGACCTGTGACGTCATCGGTTTGACCTAGGTCAATGAAATTTGGTCACAAGGTAGTTCCCCGGTGCGGCTATCGAACACCGTTTGAATTTTGAAAATCGGCCGGTAAATTTCCGAGATCTTAGGGGGGGCCGAAACGGCCCCTCCCCTACGGGTGGAAGGGTCCGCCAATAGCCCTACGGGGCGCGGGTTAAAACAAAGGCGACTAGTAGTACGGCCTATATAACCGTCGCACGCTGACAAAAAGCTTACAGATCCGTAATTGTTTTACCGGAAAAAAATGCTACTCGCGGATATGCAAAGGGGAGGTTCGGACTTCGGAGCAACGTGCTCCAGGAGCACTGCTCCTCCGTTCCGTCGTTTCTATCCTCAGGAATCAGGATACTGATATCCTGCTCCTCCACGCCGAAACCCCCACTCCGGGCTGGACAGGCACCTTTATCTCATGCGGGCTGCTCCCTCGGAGCGGCACCGCTGCTCCCGAGGGAGCGCACCCCGTAGCCGGGTGCAGATCGGGTGCTTGGGGGGCTGGTCGGTCTGTCCATTCGGACGGGCTCAGCCCCGGCGACTCTGTAAGGTGTCTGCCCAGACTAATGTATTCCCCCAATTCCTATCATTCGTCCGGCTCTGAAATGGTCTTGTCAGACCGAAAGGGCCTAACCCAACAAAACAAAAACAAACAAGCAGCGTGCGCCAGTCGCATGGCTGGGCTGGCTGCCACCAGCGCCGGCTCTCCATGACACGGCTATGGCGGAGTGGGAATGGGCGTGAATTGGTGCGTATGCCTGTACTTTAGCATAAAAGACCAACAGTGAGCTGTTTCTACTATGATATATTGAGCCTGACTCTGGAATAGCCATGCACTTGAGTGGAACGGATCTAATTGGGACGTGAACTACATCAATGTATGACTAAATAAAGTGGCGGTACATGCATGGATAGATCACTGAGCAGTTAGAAATAACAAAAAGGTATTTGTGGTGTACATATGATCTATAAGCTTTTTGTCAGCGTGCGAGGCCCTACAACTAGCCGCCTTTGTTTTAACATCGCGGACGGCACGTATGCCACCCACATGCTGCACACTTCTTTTTATTTGGCCCAATCGCTCTGGAATTTCTCAAACTCCCTGACCGGTCAGTGAGTTCGCAAACTCCCTAGTGAATTTGCAAACTCCCTAGTGAGTTTGCAAACTCACTGATGGGTCAGGGAGTTTGCAAACTCCCTAGGAAGTTTGCAAACTCACGGATTTCTCAAACTCCCTGTAACATATTCATATCAAATTCATGGGGTTTCCCTTTCAATCTAATTCAGAAGTCGACCATTCATTCGTTCATTCGTTCGTTTCGCATCTTTGCTTATTAATTCTTATCTCACTCATTAAATTCATCGGCCAACGGGTTTTCGTGAAAAGTTATCGTAATAGTTTATTTTGCTCTTTATCTATGAGCCTTTACCGACCTTTACCTACCTTTACCTATGGACGACGATTATTTGATGATGAGTTGAGGACGAAAATAACTATTAGGTAATAGTTATATTATCTGACTAGTCACTGATATCTTTCAAACGTCAACTCACAAATCTTACCTATAGTACTACAAACACCATTCAAACACATGTATGTAAGTAAGGTAAGTACGTAGATCTTTTGTTCGTTGTGTTGTGTCAAAGTTGTGTTCCCTTTTAGCGAAACCATAGAGGTGAAATCAAATGCGCTGTATTTTACGTAGCGATATCGACACGGACGACCCTCCCCCCCTCTCTCTCTCTCTCTCTCTCTCTCTCTCTCTCTCTCTCAGACTGCACATATGACGTTTTCTGTGTGTATCCATACCTATATCTTTACATGTCATATTTCCCAATAAGTCTGCGTCGAGTCGGAATGTTCCGTCCTTGGAGGTCTGTGTCGGGTGATGTGGGCTTTTCCCTGGCTGTCAGAACGCCTCTGTCGGGTTGGACTGCTTATGAATGTCTATTGTCCATTAACCCGCGCACCGAAGGGGGGGACGGATATCCCCCCACTGAGGTTTTTCGTAGATAGCGAGAAAACCGCGGCGCGTAGCGCCGCGAAATTTGATACGACTATTCTCTCATCAATTTTACACATGGTGTGCAAGTTTGAACCTCCTTTCTTTAACCCGCGCCCTGCTGGGGGGTGTTTGAACACCCCCTTGTGGTTTTTCGCGAAACCTTATCATACATCAATTCTACACATGTTGTGAAAATTTCAGACCAAGGTCGTTCAAGGTCAGGTCACCAGGTCACTTGAAGTGACCTCACCTCATAAAAAGTTTCAATGTCTGTCATAGCTACACCGAGTGACCGATCGCTTTGAAACTTTCAGCGATTGCTATGAGCAATAGCATGTACAAAATGTTTATCTCAGAATTTTGATATCGATGACCTAAGGTCAGGTCAATTTTGCGACCTCCCCATTAGGGGAAGCCGGGGGAAGCCCGGGCGCGGGGGAAGCCCGGCCACCCCGTTTCCGGCTAAATTATTCACAATAAAATGCTTAACTGTTTGTCCTTTCAGCGTGGAAGCTAAAGTAACGCCAGCAAAAAAGTTAAGGCTGACAAAAATTGCATATTGTTAAAGTTATAGCGCAAAAATGATATTTTAAGGGTTTTTAGCTAAAAAGTCAGATATCTTGCACTGTTAATGTTATACCATACAGTACTAATATTTATACGAATGTTATGTAAGGACCGTTTAAGTGTTTGTAGTGAGGGGTGACGAGGCAGGCTGGCTTAAGTATGACATTTTTTTCGAATATCGCTGTTCTAAAATAGAAATTAGCACATTGGGGTAACCCCGGGCGAGTGGCCAAGCTTACCCCCAATCGAGAGCAATGCCACTAAACCACTGTTTTCCATGAGATAACAGGTACTGAGCAGGTTTGGTTTACACCTAGATCAAAGATAAATTTCGAAAATAAACATGTTATCATAGACAAAGCCAGTCATGTCACTTAAGGTCAACTAGGGTCAAACTACGTTTTTGCAGATAACGCGACAGACAATGAAGCTAGAGCTTCAAGAATGGTGTCGTTGTGTTCTTCTTTATCAGACGAGTCGAATGATATGCAATATGATGCATTAAGGTAAAAAGAAAAATAAATTTTAAGGAATTTTGAACTACACATTTTTTGTCAATTTTGCATCACGATTTTCATCGACCTGTACTGTATATGTAGTAGACGCTAGCTAAAATACCAGTAGTGACATAAACTCTAAGATGTCCAGAGCTAATCAGTACCTTAATTGTATTAGAATCTTGTGGCCGCAGTCGTGCCACTGCGGCGCCGCCGCCGCCCCGTCCAGGCTCGGGATGAGTTATATGGCATTGTGCGGGGCGGGGCCGGGAGGAAACGGCCGGCGGCACGCGCAGCGCAATTGTAAATTTAAGATATGTCATTTAAGGCACGTAGGCCGCCAAGCTGGCGCCTTCCGTCACCTCGTCGCTGCTGTGCAAGTTCGCACTCGTTTTGGGCGTGTTCTAGACGTTTCGTAACCTGTTGAATAAAAGGTGGGTCACGTACGACCCCCGGCCAGTCTGGGCCGGCGCGGGACGGAGGCAGCTGGCAATACAACGGCAATGTGGACATAAGGAGTTTACCACAAGCTATTTCGGCCTTGGAAGACTGCCGTGATGGGGAACGAGAAGGAGACCTGTGATGGTTCGGACGCTGCGGCTGATCTCCGCCTAATCCCGGAGTTTGACGGTGTGTTGCAGCCCGTGTGCGAGTGGCTGGACAAGGTCGAACTTGTGTGTCAGCTGCGCGGCATCAAGGGACTGCACGTCGTCGTCCCGCTGAGACTCACTGGTGGTGCGTTTGCGGTATATCAACAGCTCGGAGAAGATGAGAAGAAGAAGTACGAGGACATCAAAAGGGCCCTGACATCGGCGTTTGCTTCGGATCGGTTTGAAGCCTACGACCAATTTGAACGTAGAAGGCTGCGTCCAGGTGAGACGGTGGACGTGTTCGTCTCTGAGCTGCGCCGGCTGGCTGGCTTGTTCGGAGGTATGCCGGACGACAGCCTGGCCTGTGCCTTCGTGGCCAAACTGCCAGATTCAGCACGCCGTGCGCTCCGGGCTGGATCACGGATGGAGGGCATGCCGTTTAGCCGGCTAATCGGTCGCGCTCGGGCCGTGCTAGCCGACGAGGAAACAAACACCGCGGCCGCCGCCGCTGGCACAAGGACTGGAGCACTCCCGGCCACAATGAAATGCTACTCGTGCGGGCAACCGAACCATATCGCCCGCGACTGCACGGCAGGCCGCGGACAGCGGGGCCGTGGAGGCCCCCGTGGTGGACGGAGCCTCGTGAGGTGCTACAACTGCAACCGGCAGGGGCACATCGCCTCTGCGTGTCCGGAAAACGACGCGGGAGGGGAGAGATCAGCGCCAGCCTCCTCTCCTGTCGACCAGTGAACGGGGCGCTGCCAGTCGCGCAGCTGTCGGTGGACGGAGCGAGCTGCAAAGCGCTGCTTGATACAGGATGCAGCCAGTGTGTAGCTCACGTGTCAGTTTGTCGGAGGTGGAACCGACGCCCGGTGAGCGTGATGACAGTGAGTGGAGGGCGTTATTGGTGTGAGGGGTCAGGCGTGGCACGCGTGCAGCTGCGGTCCGGTGAATCAGTGTCCGTAGATGTGCTCGTCGTAGCACGTAAGCCACTGGGGTTTGAGTTCATCCTCGGGATGAATGGTATCAGAGCACTGGGTGGCGCTACAGTGAGTTCGGATGACCGAGTCAGATTCGGAGTTGAGGCAGCGGTGTCTCATATAGCGGCGTCAGTGGCCTCACCCGGTGACCGGGTCAGCTGTGATGGTGAGAGGACTGGGGTGTCGCGTGCAGTGGCAGCGACTGCACGGGTGAGTCATGATCAGGCGAGTGGTGAGGCGGCCCCAGCGTCAGGTGCAGCGGCGGCAGCTGCAGCAGTGAATCGAGCTGACAGCAGTAAGGGGGATCCGGTGTTGGGTGCGGCGGCGGCGGCCGCACCGGCTAATCGAGCCGACGAGAAGGACTTTGTGGTGAGCTTTGATGAGACAGAAAAGAAGTGGTCGGTGGAGTGGAAATGGTGTGGAGGAAAGGAGCCCGAGCAGCTGCACAATACAGCAGAGGAGTACGCGATTCCAACAGAAGCCCGACACGAATACGAGCGAGAACTCTCCAAGTGGGTGGCGAATCAATGGCTCGTCCCTTATGATGAGAGCGTGCACGGGAGGGTCAAAGGCACGATCCCGCTCATGGCGGTCATCCAACCGAAGAAGGACAAAGTGCGTCCCGTCATGGATTTCAGGGAGTTAAATACGCACCTGGACCCGCATACAGCTGACGCGGATGTTTGCAGTGAGAAAATCCGTGAGTGGCGTCGGTGTGGACGAAACGTGTCTCTCCTAGATCTGCGAGACGCTTACCTGCAGATCCACGTGCACGCATCGCTGTGGCCGTATCAGACTGTAGTGTTCCAGGGCAGACGGTGGTGTCTGAGCAGACTTGGCTTTGGGCTCAGCCTCGCACCGATGGTGATGAGAAAGGTGCTGGAAATGGCCCTGAAACGTGACCCGAGGGTGCACACCGCTACATCACCTTACGTGGACGACATACTCGTAAATGAAAACATCGCTACTGCATTGGAGGTGAAGGGTCATCTGGAGGCGCTCGGTCTGACCTGCAAATCCCCGGAGAAGGTGTCAGAAGGTGCTCGTGTCCTGGGCATTCGAGTCTGGGGGGAGCGGCAAGGACTGTTCTGGAAGCGGGACAACCAGGATCTACAGCCGCCGCCAAAGCTGACGAGGAGAGAGGTCTTCTCGCTGTGCGGACGTCTGACAAGTCAGGTTCCGGTGTGTGGCTGGCTGCGTGTCTCCGCATCCTACCTGAAAAGACGCGCCACTGCAGCGACAGATGGCTGGGATGACGAGATCACCGACCCAGAGCTCCAGAAAATGGTCATGGAAACGCTGCAGCGCGTGAAAACGGCCGATCCCGCACGAGGTCGCTGGGATGTCACCGGCGATGAGGGAGTCGTGTGGGTGGATGCCAGCTCCCTCGCCATAGGAGCCGTGCTGGAGATGGAAGGCAGCATCGTTGAGGACGCCTGCTGGCTTCGGAAAAATCCCGAGACACACGTGAACCTTGCAGAACTGGACTCTGTTGTGCGTGGCATCAACCTGTCTCTGGCATGGAACCTGAAGAAAGTGACTGTCGTGACGGACTCGAAAACGGTCTATCACTGGCTAACAGATGCGCTCTCCGGCAGAGCTCGGATAAAGACGAAGGCGGCGAGTGAAATGCTGATTAGAAGGCGCCTGGAGACCGTGAAGAGTCTGAGAGATGAGTACGGCCTCCAGCTGACCGTGAAGTGCGTTCCGTCAGTGGACAACAGGGCTGACGCACTGACGAGAGTGCCGAAGAAGTGGCTGAACCAACAAAGCGATCCTGAGGTCTGCGGCGCTGCCTTCTCGGCGCCGGATGTGGTCAGGATCCATGAAACAAGCGGACACCCAGGCATCGGGAGAACGCTGCGCCTGTGTAGGGAGCACGACCCGGCTGTGAGCAGGCACCAGGTGCGCAGTGTCGTTAGCCAGTGCGAAAAGTGCCAGTCCATCGATCCAGCGCCCCAGCGGTGGACACATGGTTCGCTGAGCGTGACCAAATGCTGGGACAGGGTCAGCATGGACGTCTGTCACGTAAACGATCAGCTGTACCTGACTCTGATTGACTGCGGTCCGTCTCGGTACGCGATCTGGCGGCGGATAAAGCGACAGGACACCGACAGCATCATCACGGCTCTGGAGTCGGTATTCCTGGAGCGCGGCGCTCCGAGGGAGCTGCTGACGGACAACTTCACCTCATTCCGCAGTGCCGCATTCCACGAGTTCGTCAGCCGGTGGGGTGTCAGCGTCCGGTACCGAGCTGCCCATGCGCCGTTCGGCAATGGTGTCTCTGAGAGAAACCATAGGTCGGTCAAAACAATCGTAGCGCGCAAAGGCTGCTCAGTGGCGGAAGCAGTCTACCGCTATAATGTGATGCCGCGCAGTGTTGACCTGAACTCTAGTCCTGCCAACGTACTGTTCAACTACAAACTGAGAGTGCCGGACGTGGAGAGTGAGGAAAAGTGCGAAGAGAGTGAGTGTGCTATGTTCAGTGTAGGCGATAAGGTATGGATCAGAGACCCTAGTCGTCGGTGTGATGTGCCAAGTTCCATAGGAACAGTCACCCGACAAGTGTCGGCGCAGTGTGTGGAAGTAGACAATTTCCCCCGTCACGTGAGAGATCTGAGACTGGCTTTCGTTCCCAGTCCGGAGAGTGGCCAGACTGAGCCGCTGAACAATGACAATGACGACTCTGGCCCAATTATCTTGCGAGAGTGTGCGCACGAAAGCCACGGGGAAAATGTGCCCCCTGTGACGTACGCTGAAGTTCTACGCCGCGGCATGCGGGAGAGACGCCCTGCCGTTCTGACCCAGTACGATGATTTGTAGATCAGGGGGGAGTGTATTAGAATCTTGTGGCCGCAGTCGTGCCACTGCGGCGCCGCCGCCGCCCCGTCCAGGCTCGGGATGAGTTATATGGCATTGTGCGGGGCGGGGCCGGGAGGAAACGGCCGGCGGCACGCGCAGCGCAATTGTAAATTTAAGATATGTCATTTAAGGCACGTAGGCCGCCAAGCTGGCGCCTTCCGTCACCTCGTCGCTGCTGTGCAAGTTCGCACTCGTTTTGGGCGTGTTCTAGACGTTTCGTAACCTGTTGAATAAAAGGTGGGTCACGTACGACCCCCGGCCAGTCTGGGCCGGCGCGGGACGGAGGCAGCTGGCAATACAACGGCAATGTGGACATAAGGAGTTTACCACATTAATATTTCACTTTCCGTTAATATTTGGATAACACATAATGGTTTTATCAACTCGTTGTAAAGCGCTGGGGAGGTGGCCGGCGTTACCCCTATGCCGGGCTTACCCCAGAAAAATCAACACTTTTTTAAAACTCGATTTTCTCAACCTTATACATACTTATTCCACGAAACCGAATTTTTGGGAAAACACGGCCAATGAACTTAGCTAGCTAGCAGGATATCAACATTTTATACAGCACGTATGGTATGTAATAAAAATGCAAAAGAGCTTACTATGCCGGGCTTCCCCCGGCTTCCCCTATAAGTCAATGGGAGAAAATTGAAATGCGCCTCTTTTGGACGAAAGACATTATAAACACTCCCAAACACCGAATTACAAGTGGTTTAGACACACTTAACATGAAAATGGTGTCCGTGACCCTTGTTTATGCCCTGAGGTCATCTTAGGTCAGGAATGGTATCTAACAGTTTTTCGCAAATAACTTTTGATAGAGGCATGCTAGAGCGATGAAAACGCCTTAGATCTGTTCAGCTCGACGATACGGATCGACTGATATGCAACATGACCCTTTCCGGTCAGGTCATGACCTTGACCTGAGGTCAAATTTTCAAGTTGACCTTTCGAGGTCAAGTTATAGTTCATTCGATGCGCCTTGACGAGAGGAACACGATGCTGGTAAAAGTAAGCTCGTACAAGGCTTGGGTCAAAAGTTATTGCAGAAAAACTGTTTCCGAAAAAATCGGCTATTTTTGCAGTTTTTGCCCCCTGCAGGCAAAACCGTTGACGTTAGGTCAAATCTGAGGGAATTACTCAGAAAGGGCGTTAATAGGGCTATCGAATGCGCTTTTCCGCGGCGCTGCAGCTCTATTGGTTCCCGAGTTATGCGTTGGCTTCTCGGAAATTTTCGACATTCGACCTGGAAATCGGCAAAATTTTGACTCCAATGACCTCTGGTGACCTGACCTTTGACCTGACCAAAAAATTGACCGAAGTGATTTCGTCATTATTTTTGACGCTCTTTCGAACGCCGCCTTCCGCGTATCGCTACGTGGCCCAGGAGCCGAGTTACAAGGGGGGGGGGGGTGTTTGAACACCCCCCAGCAGGGCGTGGAAATCCAGGACCCCCAGCCGGGCGCGGGTTAAAGGTCCGGTCACCGGGTCACTTTGAATGACCCAACCTCAAGTCACTTTTTTGCAACTTTGTCACCGTGCCAGAGCTACAGCAGATGTCGGAGGCCTTTGAAAGTCGTAAGATGTTATAAGGTCATAAGTAGCTACAATTTGTATATCTCGGAATTTTGATGTCGATGACCTAAGGTCAGGTCAATTTCTCGACCTCCCCATTATAAGTCAATGGGGGAAAATCAACTCCCTGTTTTTACCACTAAAACGGGTCGGAATGGCCCCATAAACCATACATGACTTCATATACGATCAACCTTCACTACCTTGAGGTCTGTTTTGCTGTTGGGCAGCTGTAAGGTCATGTGACGTCATCAAAGGTCACCAAAGGTTTTTTGCCAATAACTCCGTACAGGAACAAGATACAGCCGCGCGGATGGTCTCATTGTGTTCAGCTCATTAAGGCACATCGAATGATATACATGATGATCTCGAGGTCACGTGACCTGAGGTCAACCTTTGACCTTGACCTTTCGAGGTCAACATATATATCATTCGATGCGGATTGACGAGAGGTTCTAAGTTGGCGCAGACCCCCGTCGGTGCGCGGGTTAATAATCTGTAGGCTGTCCTGCGAATCTTTGTCAAGCACTATATGTCTCTGTTGAGCAGGACCGTCCGTATGCGCATCCGTCTGTAGGCTACCCTCAACAGGACCCAACCCTGAAGGCCCGTCTTGAGGCTGGGCTCTCTTCGTCTGCGGGCTTGGCTGTAGCGGTTAGATTTCTCCTCGTAGATCCGTTGCTTTTAAGAAGCTTTCCTGCAGGTCCGTATGTAAATACTGGACATGCCCTTGAAGGTCGTCAGCAGACTGCCCTGCAGGTCCATACTCCATATGTCTGTAGGTAGACCGTCCACGCAGATCCGTCTGCGGGCTGTCTGCGGGTCCATATGTCAGTGGCGCGTCCCCGTAGATCCGCCTGCGGCTCCGGCCGTGTCGGGCGGGGCCGTCGGCTGACCGTGCGGCGCCGGTCAGCCGCCGTTGTCGCCGTCGTCGCGCCTGCGCTGGCCTCCATCGATCGCGACGCTCCGGCGCGGCCCGAGTCGGCATCGAACCAGGAGTTGGTGGAGCGCCCGCCGGCCAGGTGCCCGTCCGTCGAATCGATGTGTCGCCTGACGGCGCGGCGTGCGGCGACTGGACGGGCCGACGGCGGCTGTCAGTGGTGACTGGGTGTGGACCGGCGGCCGGCGGTGGCTCGGTGACCAGTGACAGCAGTGTGAGACCGTGCTGAGGGTGGCGCAGTGACCGGTCGACTCTGAGGGTCAGTGAGGCGGTGTCGAGTGGCGTGGGAAGCGGTCCGCACAGCGCCACGTCTCCGAGAAGCCGGACCATGACGGAGCCGCGTGCAGAGAGGATCCGCAGTCGGGACGGCCACGCGTCCGAGTTCTTCCAGTATGTGGGCCCGTACCGGCTGGAGAAGACGCTTGGGAAGGGTCAGACTGGTGAGTAACCGTCGGGAACGGCTGGGTACACCGCTGTCAGCTGGTCGGCGACCAAAGTTCCTTCAGTTTCCTCAAACGACAGAAGTCACCAATGCAGGCTTCCCGTGTCGTCCAAGCACGTGGTCGATTTCCAAAGTCGCACCCGCTCAATCACCTTCCTGCCACGTCCCTTCACCTCCTTGCCACCTCTCTTCGCTCCCTCCGCGCCCGGCGCCGCCGCGCCGCTCCCCGTGCCTCGCGCGGCGCTGCCCGCCCGGCGGAAGGAGGGAGGGGTGGAGTCGCGCGCGTCACGTTACCGTCGCAGTCGCGTCGGTATGTAGAAATGGCCGCGGACTGGAGACCAAGCCGCCATCGATCCGACGCGCAGTCCCTTTACTTAAAGGAGACGGAACTGCGAAGGGCTGCAGAGGACACTGCGACAAGGCACGACCGCGTGAAGCCATATAATTGTGTCCCCGTCTGTTGGGAGCGTAACATAACGCTACAATTACGTAACCAAGCATGGACAAATTGGCTTCATGGCTCTTACGCATGTTTCCGTTATGAAATCTTCCTAATCATGTTCATCGCCAATTTAGAACGCCACAATGCTTTTTGCATACAATTGTTGGATTCTTATCTAAATCTAAGTGTGTCCCACTGCAGTGAAATCGTGCCTGCCTAGTGCCTACCGGCTATCTGCCTACGCTCTGAGAAGCGTGTTGTAGGTACTTAGCATCCCAAAGCTAGCCTGGCTGAAGATCAGCTTTGATCAAAGGCTGAAGAGCAAGAGGTCGTTTGATCTAACATTAATTAAATGCACCACTATATATCAGGGCATCCAGCGAAACCCGCGAAGAAGATTGGATGGCTGATTCCATATTGCGATGAAATGAGCTTCAATCAGCCTTTATTCCACATATACAGCCTTTATTCTATATACAAGCACCCTCTGCAGTCTGCAGTGCTAAGCATTATCATGCTATGTTATGCTGTACATATTAATTATCCAAACTGTCAAAATATTTTTAATTGAAATTGATATCGCTCGTACCCATACACTTTGGGCGTGGCTCATTTTCCTTCGTGAAGGTCAATGGTGTTATGGTTTCCTGTAGCCATGCCCAATTAAAGGCACATGCACTTCATGCACTGACAGGTAAAAATGTCTCCATGCAATTATTTGTATGTAATGGCGTTTCTTTGTAATCGCTACGGTAAGTGGTACGGTACGGTAATCGGTAAGTGTTCGTAGTTCGGCGTTATGGTGCGATTAAGTAAGATCCGTTAGGTCATGTAACGCCATCAGTCACCACTGCACAAGATCGTCCGACTACCGGCGTGTCGTTTCGAGCGGTGATGTAGGTACAGTCCACAGCAGAAGTAATGTGCGGCTTCAGTCATGGGTATTGGGTATGTTTTGCTTCTGAAGCTTAGAAACGATTAGCTAGACTACAATGAAACTTTGAATGTAGCTTACATGTATGGTCTCCCTTGTAGCTGTTACTTTATCTATTGACGTCTTCTTTTCGATCACTCCGCATTAAAATATCGCCAGTCAATGCCATCCGTTGAGATTCGTAAAACCGCACATAACTTTAGCGGCGAGCTGTACGCTTTGGCTAAGCAGTGTGTGTCAACTGTATGTACCACATCTCAGACCACACCTCAGAAACTAACTACTTGTGATTTCCTCGTAGATCGGTTCGAGGTGCAGATCCACCTTTAATCCGTGAATACCCGAGCGTGGGTTCGTAATTTGCATCACCAATCCCATTAGGACTTATTTCCAACGCGGGGTTGTGATGATGGCCATTGGCGCTAATCGCTTGCATGGGTGAATATTGACCGATGTCCCTCCCCCGATATCGGGTTATCGGGCACAAAGACATCGTTGGCGACAGTGGGATAGACTGTTGTGTGGTCATTGATCACTGATCACTGATCACTGACCACTGATCACTGACCCCGGGCCCCGGGCCCCGGGTTCTTGCACCACTGCTCCAATGATTGAGTGCCGAAGTGAAAATAAGAACTCTCAGGTTCTAAACCATGAGGAAGGAAGCTTTCTTCTTTTTTTAGGTAATTCGTTGTTGATTTTTTCACATATTCATTCATTTAACTTTTGCCGCATCGGCTAACAGTGATGCATGTGCGACTGACGCTGCCTGCTACTCGATAGAAGGCGGAGTCTTTATCCATTTTAGGTAAGATGAATATCGTTCGTTCCATCTTACCTAAAAACCAATCCATTGAACCATTCCATCGTTCATCAATGGTCTGAGCATATGGTCTAAGGCTCAGCACTCTATCGTTGGAGGGGGAGGGGCGGACAGGGATGTGTCGGAGCGGCGGAACAGCAGCAACAGCTGTCGGCAGCGACACTCCTCCCAGAGGGCCATTAGCACGGACCGCAGTCCACGGTCCATGGCCCACTCTGCGCCGGACCGGGCAGGGCTCTGGTCTGCCTTTGATTTGAGGTCATGGATCTCTCCATCAATCTACTGCTAACGATTTTTAGGGTCAAAGACACCGGCGAATCTATCGACTCACTGCTAACGATTCTTGGAGCCAAGGTCACAGATGAATCCATCGACTCATTACCAACGATTCTTGGAGTCAAGGTCACAAATTTTCCACTGACTTGAGGCAACGTTCAGTTCCATCAAGTCATGGTTACCAAAATTCCCATCGACTTAGTTATAATTTTCTTATAGACTTTCTTCTACTGTCACCTGTCTCCAATTGACCCGCAGATATCGATTGGTGAGGTCAACGTCAAGTAGTTTCAACAGAGTTCAGAGTTCACGGCATAACCACTAACCAGTGATGCTGCTTATCTCGTTTATGGTTTTAATTAAGTGAAAAAGCCACGTCGCAAATTTAGCTGAGACCAAAGGATTGTATGTACCTACGCCTTAAAACATTTACGCTGTCTTTATTGAAGTTTCTTAAACTGGGTGCAGTAACCAAGAAATGCAATAAACCAAAACTTGTACCAAATCTCCCTTCAATCTTAGAAGGTTTCCACCGCGCACAGCGTCGGCTGGCAGACTATGGGAATTTCTCCATAGAAACAATGAGAAAGTTTCCCATCCGCATGCAATAGTGACTCCGCTTTCCGACTGCTCTGTGAGGATATCGTCTCGTAGTCAATGTGGTCCCGTATGAACTCGCAGCATTGGAAGTTGTCTGTTTCTGAAAATGGATGGGTGATGTAAAGGTTCCACAACTACTCGTATTTTTATGACTTGCACGCTCCCTTCCGGTACCGATGTGGTTCATTTTTAAAGCATCCCTCTCCCTCCCTCCCTCCCTTTTCTTTCCAGTTTTCCTTCCTCCCTCTTCCTTTCTTTCTTTCTCTCTCTCTCCCCCCCTCTCTCTCTCTCTCTCTCCTTGTCTTCTTTTCCACTTTTTCTTTATCTTTCCCTCTCTCTCTTTTTCGTTTCTTCTGTTATCGTTCCAACCCATTCGTTCATAAATCATATCTTAGCCAGTTTCGTACCTACTACCTAGTCCTACATAATTAGCTTTATTTTCCTATTTCGTTTACTTCTTTTGTCACTGCACACGTCGCCGCATTTTCTTCGTGGTCTTCTTCGCTTTAATCTTTTCGTCATTTCATCAAATTCATTTCTCTTTCCGGTACCTATCTATTTCCCTTCTCGCTCTCCATCCCGGCTCCCCGCCGTCTGGAGCTGCAGTTTCATCACCCCTTACCCCAGGCAGGACATTGCAGTCCCAGCAACTCGGATCAGTGAACCACATTGACAAACCTAGTCCAATTCGGAACTGTTCACGGTATACCTCAGTTACCGTCTGGTCGGCAATCAGTGGCGTATTGGCACCTTTAGACTCGCCCCGTCAGCCGTCGCCATCGGGACACGCGGCGCCGACGCGACCGACGGCTTATTGCAGACCGGGCACAAATATGCGCTCTACGGAGCGGAAAACGCAGCCGGCGGCAGTCGATCGAATGGACGAGACATATTGCATTCCTTGTCTGAGGAGGAACTCTGACTGCGTGGTGAGAGTTGAAACTGCACGTAGGTAAAAAATATCACCGGCTTATTGGCATAATTAGAATGTGATATGTATTACGCATTATGCTATTCTTATTTGTACTCTTTTGATGTGATTTACTTTTTCTTCTTCTTCTCTCTCTCTCCCTCTCTCTCTCTCCCTCCCTCCCTCCCTCTCTCTCTCTCTCTCTCTCTCTCTCTCTCTCTTTCTCTCTCTCTCTCTCTCTCTCTCTCTCTCTCTCTCTCTCTCTCTCTCTCTCTCTCTCTCTCTCTCTCTCTCAATTTTCCAGTGCTCGCGCTCCTTGGCAACCATGTCTTTTCAGACGTCGCGTTCTTGTCGCTGACAATGACGCCCAATGACAGTGTGCCTGTCGTAGACGATGCTTTGTGAGCCGTTAACATCGATTTTAGTACGCCTCACATTCCACCTCAAAGACAAAATGTCTGTGATGACGTGTCACGTCTTCAACGTGTGATGGAGCTGGCTTTTATACCTTTAGTTACTTTTGGCCAGTTGCAGAGATTTTATTTGGAACCATCATGATGGTAGAGCGATGAAAAATTGTAAGTTGCGTTTCTGGTCCTTTGGCTACTGTTCTCCTGGTCAATGACCTGTGGTTTCCTAGTTCCTCTGTCTTCTTGCCAGTGTCCCCTTCACTCCGGTCAGCAGTCTCCCATTCCTCTGGCCAATAGCCCCCTATCTACATATCTGGTCAGTAGTCCTTCGTCCCTCTGGTAGGTAAGTAGTCCTCCGTCCCCTTGGCCAATAGTCCCCTGGTCCTCTGCTCAGTGACTCTTGGTCAGTGTTCTCCTGGTCCGCTGGTCAGTGACCCCTTCGTCACTCTGGTCAGGGTCTGCAGCCGCCGGCCTCTGCGATCGATTACCGATCGGCGCGGATCACCGAGCCCGGCACATGGCCACCCCTTCCCTCGCCTACCGGGAAGAGGCCCTGTGGGACTTCGAACTGCACGCCGCCTGCTACGGTGGCAACCGACCTAG